ACACACACACACACACATATATATATATATATATATATGTGTGTGTGTGTGTGTATGTCAAATAAAGTTATTAACACCAACAGTGGACATTATCTGACTTAAAGTTGTTTCTAAAAATACAAAAATACAACATTTTCGAGGAAAGATTCCTTCCTCTCAAACCTCTCGGTGTGGACTTAAGGACTTAGAACGCTAAAATCCGAACTTTGATTCCTCGTGGTGGACAGTGTACAAGTAGTTCGTTGTTCAACTTTGCGCTAAAAACACAAACTTTCACAACTACTGGGATGATTTATTAATTTAGAAAATATTATCGTGTATAGATATTAGAGTTGCCACTTACCTCAAATTTTAATTTTTTACTCTCAGTCTGTTGCTTTTTGGGAACAATATACACAGTTTTTGTGTCCAGAGAACCAATGGGAGTGCTTGGATTGTAGAACAGGCATCGATGTCCTTTATCGTGTACCTGGATCATGTGACCACCTGGTTTAATTTTATTAGGTGTCGCCACTTTCACCAGAAGATCCATCATCGGTGTCCTGGCAATTCGAAACAAAAATAACTTTTATTGAAAGTTTTATCAGAAATTTCAATCTATCTATAGCGATTAAAAAACTAGTATTTTGCAATTCTCTTTTTGTTTCATATTTTAATTATTACTCTTTACAATTTCCGAAATTTGGAAAATAGTTTTGACTTAGCCTGTAGTTAATTGTTCTTGGAGCTATCGCTAATATGATTGCAAGACGTGTGCAACATATACATGGATTCGTGACGTACACGATCACAAATTATCTATGCAACAACCACAGAACTACTTGAGTACATTACATCAACACGTAACCTCCTGTATTATCTTTCCGGTTATCAAACACATCCATCCATCTCATGTCTGCTAGTTTGCAGAACAATAACTTTTAATAATCTTCAAAAATAATAAGAAGCTTGATTTATAATAACAGTACGAGACAGATAAATTGTTACGAAAAATGTATAATAATAATGACTAACAATTCTTAAGAAGTTATGTAGAATGATGTTTCTAAAATTCCTATCAATCGTTTAGATATTGTTGGTAAAATAATTTTATCAAATAAATATTATAGCTAAAAAACTTTTAATTTAAATAAAAGTTAGGGACGAACAAAATACTTCATTATAATACATATAACTTTAATAACTATAAGAAATAAACAGAACAAAAAAGTAGTACTCTTAAGGGAGACAATTAAAAACCTTACTTAATCTATGTATTTACATATCTTTCTTAATATAACTAAATTTTAACAAAACGTGAAACAATAGCGGTTCATTAATTTTCTACACAGCTGTGATTCCTATGTTCTTCTTATTATTTAAGTTTTCCATCTTTATGTAACTAAGTTTTGGATAACATTTTCTTGGTGACGGTCCGTTAGTATAAGGGCCCATTACTGCGAAGGCTCGATAATCCGAGGACAAGTTTTTGTTTTTTTAACAGTGAAAATGTTATATTGATTGTTTGGTTAAATTTTATGAAAACAAATACCGCGTGAAATGACCTAAAATGTTACAATTTCGTATGAATGGATGGATAATGTTTATCATCATTTCCCCGATGTTATTTTCTTGTGTGCATGTATAGTGTTAACTGCAAATCCAGAATTGGATTGGATTTGGGAATCTAGACCTTCTGAGAGAATGGACATTCAGTGATTCTTATTCCACAGTGCAGTGTAAATGAAGGTTATATCCCAGACTTATTAAACATGATGAAAGCTTCCAGTCAGTAAAATTATCTCTACACCAAGCCAGTGCAATGCCGATTCAAGGATTTCTATTCTTTCAATTTAAAACGAAAGCAAGCTGGTCCCCCCCTCCCCGAACCCCCGCTAAGATGCACCCTTCAAACTTTTCATTTGAGATTGCATCATCCATTATGGGCCTATTAATTTGTATATTCATTCAATTTTGACTCGTATTGTCAAAACCAAAAATCTGTGACTATCGCGGAGCCTTAGGAATACTGGGTGGTCACCGAGATCCAAGTTAGAAACGAGAAGACGAGTCGTCATATTGCAATTTTTTTATAGGTGTTGTTTAGTTAATATATTTCAGTATAGTTCAATTTCTTTTTTGGTTAACTATAGCCATATGTAAGGCCATTGTTTTAATTGTGAAAGTAGTCATGTATATAGACTAAATACAGGATAATATTATACTCGTATCTAACAAGAGTCCAGTTAGTACTTCCATCAAACAGGGTTTAGTTATCCTAGCACGATGGAAGTAGAGGAAGTTGTTGTCTTCGGCGTTGTTTCATGTTCAGCAAACAAATTCAAAATAAAATACATTATCGGGCTTTCGTGTGGCGAGTTTACTTTTTTTTCTGATTGAAAAATCAGCGTTCATAACAATATGAGATCATTATCAAAGTGTACTGTACCAGTTTTCGGAGTGCGTTCCACGCAGGAGTTGTGAGGTCACGTAAACTTCTGCGAGAACAAACACGATAACATCAGATAATTTGTTATTATTTTACATCGTTTTCTAAGTGAAATAACCAAGTGTGATAATCTAAACGAGTTTTAAAAATGCCAGCAAAATAATTGTGACTACTAAATAACTTATGTTTATTGTAACAAAGCCATATCGCACGGGCGTTCTGGCCTCTTTAAAACTTATCGTTATGCAAATAAGTGGGATATACACCTGATGATCACACCTAATTCCTTAAGTCTTAATTTTATAAATATTTTGAAAATTCTATATGCATCTACACGCATCTCTTTGTCTCTGTTTCGTTGTTTAGATTTTATAAAAATGAATTCTGCGTGAAAGATATGAAGCATCAACAGGAATACAGCTAAATCAATACACCAACACGAAAGACTTATAATATCAGCTAAATGTCACTAGATGGCGCATGTGACTAGCAATTCCATATACATGTACTTCTCTATATTCCTTGTATAAAATCAGTTTGCAGATAACCTTTATAAAACAGAGCATGGCTTATTAAGTAAGACTCTAAATATGATCAAGCCACGAATCCCAAATCAAGGCGAGTTGAAATTTACAGTCCCTTCTTCTCAGCTTATTTCATATAATTTGTACAACATTTTCGCTCTTTCGATATGAAAGAGTAGAACGCTCTTTGTGTAAATAAATTCTACACCTAGCTAAACTATACTTTGGAAGACAATACCAGCCACTCTCTTATTGTTCAGTTTATGACATGATTTGGCATTCCACCTAATGGACCCGAAGGATTAAGGCACAGTATCAAAGCTACCAAGGAGTCTACAAATATGGAGCTGTCTTTTCCAAGCAATAGGATAATACATTTTACCAACAGACTACAAGCTAGCGGGGAAGGTATAGGAGATTAGCTGCCCAATATTATTATACAAAGTTTAGATAGTGTTTTTATGTCACCAGTGCGAGGCTCCTGTCAATTAATTCTTTATGGATGTAGGTTCTTGAAAACGTTTGAGAGAGTTTGGTAACAAAAAAGAAATATTATATCCGGTGTACATAGGGGAAGTGGGGCAAGGCAGTAAGAAGGTCTCCTGTGGTGAAACGACCTTCTCTGTGTATCAGTTACCACGTGCTGCTATTAGAGTGAACTATATGTAACTATTGTTCACGTGAGTCAGTGAATAAGTACACTGGCGAGATTTTCTTGTTCTTGAAAATTTTGATTTAAGGTGAACACTTTTATGGTTACAAAGTAAATATTTTAGAGAATTTCACTTGGATGATTTCAAAAATTTAGGAAATAATTATACACAGCACAATACCTGTAAAATAAACATAGCTAAAGTTAATTATTATATACATATACATATATATATATATAACGTGTCCTTACTTTATGATGAAAGGCCTAAAGTAAGACACCCTATCTTCTCGCAGGGCTGTCTTACCCCATACCAATGACGTTTATTTCCGCCATAAGCTTTGGCTGCAATGTACGTCATTCTCACACACTTGTACCCGTGTTATTTAGCTCCAAGATAATGCTTAACTTTCACATGGCCTTACCGATTTCTGTTGGGATCACTTAAATGGAGATTTTAATGCAGTTGTCAAATGTAGCTTAAACTGCAGTTATTACGAGTTATATGGAGGCAATTTTGTCCCATATTGGGAGCCTTTATATCTTTCTTACTTTATGCCTCTTTTTTATGACATTCATCTTAATTGATGATAACTGCATTAAAAGTTAAGGTGGCCGTCTTACCGCACTCTCTTCTACGCTTGTTAGTTGTTTATAATACTTTTCAAAAAGAAATATTCACAAAAAAAGTATTATTTTCACATGGTAAGTTAATAAATTAAAAGGTTAGTTAACTTTAGCGTTGTGCAGAACACACCAACCATTTTTGATCTTAAGCCATTACAGCCACTTCCAGAGTTCAGATAACTGCTCAATAAGAATCAAGTCAGTGCGTGTATTTCTGCATTAGTTTCTATCTACATATACACGAACGAACAAAGTCAATTCTAAAAAAATCGACAAGTCGAGATAATTTTGTGACTCTTAACAGTTGAAAGTAGCATATACCCTTTCAATGTCAAAAAATATTAATATAATTTGAATTAATTTTCAGAGTTTTCCTTAGTTCAGACTAATTCTTCAAATCCCATCAAAGTTTGAACCCATTTTCAAGAGCATTCAGTCAGGTTTCATATAAAAAAAGCCTAGTATGAAGGTGTTTTTTCTGATAAAAAGGCCAAAACCTAGATAACACTATGTAAAGGGTATACACTACCTTAAGTAAGTATGTTTAAACGGTGTTTTTTTAATTACTAATAAGAACACTAAGTAAGATCTTAAGTGACCTTAACGGTCACGATATTATTACCTCCTTTCTACGGTCATGCTCACTTTCTTGTTATCCGGCAGCACGACATCAAGATCCATTCGTCCTTCCAACAGTTCGTCAATGGCACTGTCATCCCCTCCGTGACTGGGACTAACTACTGGTGTGATATTATAAGTAATGGTTCCGTTACGTATTGGTAACCTAACGCTTTCATTTCTCACAGGTGGTGATGGTGCCGTCTTCTTATCTTTGGGGCTAAAGAATGAATTGCATAAAATATTTAAACTAAACATTAGATTATTTTCGTTAAAAAAATCCCTAGAGCAAAGATGACATAAAACTTGGAACAACAATAGATTATATGATGTCAAGGAGCACCATTTCTGATTTCAATGGAAGGGGTATTGGAGGAAGGGGAGGTAATTTCTTGGATGATTGTGATTTTTTTAAAGGTTGAACTTAAAACATCGGTCTCTTTTAGGTGCATTTGCTCTGATTATTTTCTATATTATTTAATCAACATTTAAATAGCGCAAATTACACATTAGTGGTCTTCCTCTTACCCTACCTAAAGTGCGTTTTTGGTTATGACAAGTGTATTATATCTTATTAATGAAATCTAATACATTTTGTCATATCAGTTGTTGAAATATTGACAATCCACATTCTACACAAAAAATGAGCACGAATACGAAAAATTCAAATTGCGTTGCGTTAGCTAAGGTACAGTTGCCCGGGGCCTGGCTCTCCTTACTAGTGCTGGTTTGCGTTTGTATAAGTCAAATTTACACAACAATAATTTTAATTATCTCTTTACTCTAACTGAACAACACAGATTGTGAAAAGCACAATCAGCATGCTAATGCTACGGAGATCTGAAAGCATGTTCCCCCAGAATATTAATGTTATGAGATTAAATATGGAAGCAGTTTTGCATTAAATATAGCCTAAACAATTACCTGTTTGTTAAATACCACAAAAAGCTCCGCTATATAACTATATAAGTATAATTGTTTTACATCACAAAAATAGGAGTTCGGCACACTAACCCCCTGATCCATGCTCTTCTTTTCTGTAAAGTAAACAGGCCAGTTGGCAACACAAATAACGCAGAAACAAATCAACTGTAGAAAGTTTAACTTCTTAACTGTTTCTTTTCCTTTCATAAGAATATTTAAGTCAATGTAAAGTTACACATAACGCATTTAGATTACACAGAAGAAATCTACTCGATCCAAAACTAAATATTTGCTTCAATGATATGCTCAAAGTATTGAAATCAAATGATGAAGCTCCAAAGAAACTTTAATCGAACTTGCATGTTAATCATACAGTGACCCTGACATGTTTTCACAAAATGAGATAATGTTTTTATTATGTTTGGATTTCTCCATTACTACGTTGCCACAATACTGATTACATGTACAAAGGCAATCGTATCAGAGATAAGACTACAAAGGCGATTGTTAGTGAATAGTAGTACTAGCTGAAAAATAAACTAAGCCAAAGACTGATAGTTGAAAACGAAAGAGATACATTGAGATCACATTCGAGTATTTAATACAAAAAACTAGTTTATTCAGAAATGTACGAGGTGCGTTATGTTTTAAAGCCATATGATTCAAATCTATGAAAGAAACTTTGCATAATTTTGACATATTTTAAAAACCAAAGAACTGGAAAACTATAATAGATGTATTAGATTAATTGTATTTATATTTACTTATATCTATTAGTTTATGTTTGAAAAAAGTAAGATTGAAATCTTATATCTATCAAAAGGGGTACAAAAATCCGACATATATAATAAACAATCAATTTAACCATAAGAACACTTGATCTATGTTATTAGAACATCATTTACGTTCAAATAGAACAGCGGATATCATTACAGAACAAGTAGGGTAAACAAATAAAATAAATCACAATTAAATACAGCCGACAACACTGTGCTATGGGAAGATAGGTATTATTTTTATTTCGTAATATCTACCAAAGCAATGAACCTTTGTAAGTGAAAGCAAAGTACAAAGTTATCAACAAATATTTATATCTACACAAAATATACAAGGCTCGTTTTTCAAGTTATATTACACTTCTCAAATTGAAGCTAATTACAATTGAACTTCAAGAGAATTATTAAGTTGCCAATAGATAAAAATTAATTGCAGTTATTGATAAAACCTGAACTTACGTTAGCTGTAGTAAAGAAAATCCAATCAAGCTTACCAGTACGACTCTGAATCTAATTTTCAAATGGACAGCAACTTGCCTGAAGACGAAAGGCGGAAGACTTTCGAAACGTCGTCCTCTACATTTGTAGGTTTCTACAACAGGCAGTTACTGTCCATTTGAAACTTAGATTCATCATGAATACTCTGCCTAAACAACCTATCAAAGAGTACAACTCTGTTTTAAAAGGGTTCAAGATTGCCTTCAGAATAAGCAGAAATTCCAATCCCAAGTTTACAAATACATTTTGAAACTAACAGAAGTATATTCAATAGGCAAACCACTCAGAAGAGGTTTTTAGTTTATAAGGCATTGATATCTAAAATACAGTCAACCAATTCCACTTTCGTATTTTACGAAGGGAAGAAGATCATAATTAAAACGATTCTGTTTTTAACATGCCTTTAAAATTACTGATGCGTTACTAATTAACAAAAGCATAATCTTAAGGCAAACCATTCACGATAAACATGTTTTTCTGAATTTTGTCTCCCTAAAGTGTGTTGTTGCAACTTTATATATTAAACTGGCTAACATTTATCATAATATGATTATCTTAAAGGTGCATGAATTTTCAGTCATTTAAACCCTTGTAAAAATATACAAAAATTTTGAAATTGGAATTTTCAACTTGAACAGTGCCTCGTGCGTTCTTAGTCCATAGGGCCATTCTTAATTTTGAACTACTGACAAATCAGCAACATTCGCCACCAAATGGTTTGTTTGTTTGTTTTTTGAATTTCGCGCAAAGCTACACGAGGGCTATCTGCGCTAGCCGTCCCTAATTTAGCAGTGTAAGACTGGAGGGAAGGCAGCTAGTCATCACCACCCACCGCCAACTCTTGGGCTACTCTTTTACCAACGAATAGTGGGATTGACCGTCACATTATAACGCCCCCACGGCTGAAAGGGCGAGCATGTTTGGTGTGAAGGGGCTTCGAACCCGCGACCCTCAGATTGCTAGTCGAGTGCCGTAACCACCTGGCCATGCCGGACCTCTGCCACCAAATGGGCTTTGAAGTGAATAACGGCATTGACTTTCACTTCGATAATGCAACCAACGCTGATGTTGCGGAACGTGTTAGCAGTGTCACATATCTAACCTTGGACTTATTGATCCACAGCTCGGCCCAACAAATTAATACCTTTGAATAAAATAACACAATAATAATAATAATTGTATAATAAATGTTGAATATTAATAAATGTAAAAAGTTCTATTATATTATTTCAAAACATCGAAGTGCACATTATAATGATAATAGGATAACAATCAAAAGATTTACTTGTTCTCATTATTTATAAAAAATAAAATAAAATAATCTAAAAAATAAAAAATTGATAACATAATCTAAAGGACAACAAGGGACCTTTCTGTCCATCTAAGTTATTCTATCCATTAAACTAAACCTTAAAACAAAGAAACACCTCAAATTCAGCCCTTATAATTCAGATTTTTATTTAGCTTTCTCTTAATGTCCATTAGGTTAACTGCGTCCACCACATCCGAAAGTAATCGCTCTAGAGGCAAACTACCCTGTTAGAAAAATACAACTGTGATATCTGAAGATAACTTCTTACCTGCCAAAATTTATATTTTTAAGTTATGATATTAACTTCTCTATAAATAACACGAACTGTTGACCTTTAAGAACTTATTAAATAAAAAAAATGTCTATTTCAGTTTATACAAATTTCTAGCGCTTTTGGTCATCTGTGCTCTGCTCACCACGGGTAACGAAACCTGGCTTCTGGAGTTATAAGTCCACAGACATACCGCCGCACCACTGGGAGGCCTAACAATTTTAATAGGATTATTGCTTAGTGTTTACTATAAACGTTTATTTTCTAACAGTCATATAAGGCAGGGGTCCTCAAACTTTAGCAACAGACCCCTTTTAATTATTTTTTTCCTCGGATCCCCAAACCTATCGATATTTTTTTTTGTTTTGAAAAAAAAAAAACAATAAAAAAGATTCCGTTTTCCTGAAAAGCTGTATTCCAAAATTAAATGTTTTAATTCGTATAAGCTTAAATTTATTAAAATCATTTATATTTTATAAATTATATTTTGTAAATAATATAATGAAATTTCAGACATGACTAGCGGACTCCTGCAAGTCCGCAGATCCCAGTTTGAGAAACACTGATATAAGATGCATATAAATGATGTAAACTTTGTTGGTATGTATTAACAATGGCATTTATCATATTGGCGATAAGAAGATGCGACCGATCGTCATTTAACTCTATATTACCGATTAGGACCCCCACTTCTCCAACACACATATTTAAACACATTTATCATATTGGCGATGAGAAGATGCGACCGATCGTCATTTAACTCTATATTACCGATTAGGACCCGCACTTCTCCAACACACATATTTAAATACATTTTCATGAAAAAAAAATTCTCATTTATTGACGATAAATGTCGTTGTTTTTGTTTAAAAGAAAATTGCGCGATAGGTTTTTCTGCGCTGAGCCTACAACGTGGATCGAAGTCAGGGTCTGATGATTTTTAAGAAACATAAATGGCGAAACTAGTTTTTTTTTAAATCAAATACCAACCAAGACTGGTTCACAGTACTCTAGAAATAAATAATAAAAGGTCATTGAAAAAAATGAAGTTATTTCGTATTCTAAAAAAAATATACGTATGAATGGTCTGTTGGTTCTCGTCGTTTAAACCTGTACTCCTTTCTTAAACGAATTCACTCAAAGTCACATAATTTTGAAACGCACTAATTGAAAAACATGATTTTAAATATATAGTAGTTATTCATGTATCGTAAACAACTGGTTTCAAACATTTCTTGTTTAAAACTTAAGTGATATCAAAAATATAAAAGATTTATAGGTGTTAAAAATGTCAAGCTATTAGTAATTAATATTGAAACTAAAAACGAGAAAAATACACATTCTTTAAGAAAAAAAATGGTTATGAAATATCTTATGAAGAGGAAATGACATGCTTACGTAAGAATAGGCTACCAAAACACTACACTTTTCATGTCTTA